TGGCTTCTCTCCTGAAAAAAAAATAAATCTTAACACCCCCCTCTCCCCAACCGCTTCTTTTTTACAAGACTAGGATACAAATAGGAGAAACATCTGATTTTCTTCCTAACCTCATAGATTCTGACATTAAAAATGCTCTCTATGCTTCTGAGCATAGAGAAGGAGTTCAAATATTATGCACAATACACAACCTTAAATAGACACAGCACTCTAGTTGTGCAACTACTTGGCACTTTGTCCCCTTGAAAGGGATTACCCTAGCACAAGAGGACAGAACAATTAATTAGTGGAGCCAACAAAAAACAGTAGAACAAGAGCCACAGGATGAGATTTGATTGGGGGAAGAGCCAGCGTTCTCTAAAGGAGGCTATAATTATTGTGGCAAAGGAGACACTGAAGGAGAATTCCAGAGACAATACAAATGAATGGGTGCAGAGCTCAGCTCTGCACGATGTAGACAGTACTTGAATATGGATCTGAAAAAAACACTTTATGCCTGAAATGTTGCTCAATAAAACATCCAAGTACTAGAGAGGGCTGGAGGTGATGGTACGATTTTAGAGGGAAATTCGCAGCAGTAACAGAGAAAAGAAGAGAAGATTTACAGCCCTTGCACAAGAAGTCAAAGAGAAAGTGTTGAGGACACCTATCTGTAGAACAGGGCAGAAGTAGAGACTGACTAAAATAGGATAAATAATGTGCAAGAAGAGGTCTATTGCACTAGAGAATGAAGATGAGAAATGGGCAGAAACAAAACATTGTTTGGCAACAAATAACAGCAACACATCGTACACAGAAAAAAGGGAGGGAAACCAAGAAACCGAGGATGAACAAAAATGGAATACAGGTTGTTACAAGAGAGAATGTCTGAGGAGGATGATTTGCTTACAGGAGTAAGGAATGGAAGGACTAGTGACGCCCATCAGCACCACTGAGACTAGCCAGAAAGCCCAGAGGCAAAGGCAGAGAGGACTGATCAAGAAAAAAGCTGTGTGCTAGAGGTCAAGAAGTTAGGGAAAAATTGAGAATAACCAAAAATTAAGCAGGTTAGACTTTAGGTTTTTTGAGGGGTTGGGCGGGGGGGTTGCAAATAGTGAAAGATTCTTCAGACATTCCAGGATTCTGAAAGAACTGGACATAAAGTTCTGGCAGGGGAACATATTACTGAAGTATGAGCTGCCAGTGTGATACAGTCATGAAGAAAACACTGGCACTAGCCAGTTCCCTACTTCCCACGGAAGGTGAAAATATTAGCAACAGTTTCTAAATCCTTCATGAGATCTCAGTATGTTGTATGCTTCTGGTCACTTGTTTTCAAGAACAACAAGGCAGATGACGATTGCTAGGAAGATCACAGAAATGGAGGCAAGTGTCTTCAAGAGACTGCATTGTATAGTTGCAGTGGGTTGACCCCAGCTGTCAGCTAAGCTGCCACCCAGTCACTTGCTCACTCCCCGCCCCAGCCAGACAGGAGGGAGAACTGGAAGAGTAAAAGTGAGAAAAACTCAGGGATTGAGATAAAGACAGTTCAATAGTAAAGAAAAAGAAAAAAACCCAAGTAATGCAAAAGCAATCACTTGCCACCTCCCACCAGCAGACCAATGCCCAGCTAGTCTCCAAGGAACGGTTACCTTTGAAAAACTCCCGCCCTCCTTTAATGCTGAGTATGATGTTATATGGTATGATGTACCTGTTTGCTCAGTTTGGGTCAGCTCTCCTGGCCATGTCGCCTCTCAACCCCTTGTGCCCCCCGCCCCCCCCCGCCAGCTCACTCACTGGTGGTGGTAGGGGAGAGCAGAGTGAGAGAAAGAGGGGGCCTTGCAAGCACTCTTCAGCAGTAGCTAAAACATTGGTAAGTTATGTAACTTAAATACTGTAATTTAATGTTGTAACTTAAATATTGTAGAGCTATGGATATTTTCTTTGGACTAAATTATAATTTCTGTGACAGCCAAAACAGCAAAATCAGCAACTGTTTCTGCCTTGTTAAAGAAAAGTTTTGTCATTTGCATATATGTTTGCTTCTTTAAAGACAAAACAGTACTACTGTGGCTTAGATTGGCTTAGATTTTACTCAGTGGTAACTGCTCTTTTAAGTGCTTCATTTTAACTTCATTATTAAAAAAACAGCATTCATTTTCCAAACAGATTATTGTGTATATCATAACTCTCAGTTGCATTTTGGAATAACATATATTCACTTACAAAGGATTTAATATGACCTTAACCTAGAGTTGGTACGTTGTCAGGACACAAGCTACAGATAAAAATAGGTATGTATTTAAATATGAGCTGCTCCCTTGTCCAAAGTTCAAGCTTCCATAAAACAGGGGTAAGTATCAGAGGCATAATGAAGACAGAGAGGAATTGGTTAATGATTAAACAGAGTAAAAAATGAAAAAGTGACACTGGCCAAAGAAAATTTTACATTACAACAAAATGTGTTCAAGGCAGGAGAATAATTTGTCAAAGCATGTAAGTGAGCTAACAATCCTGATGTTGTTGAATAATAGTTTGGATGAAATAATTAAGAAATTCAGGTAGGAAATGGTCCTGAATTGTTGAAAGGAATGTGTTTGGTGATCTTCTTGATGTTAAGAAGCTGTTTTTCTATAAACAAATGGAATACCCTTTAGAGTATGCATGTAGTATATTTTTTATATGTTTTACAATCAGTACAAGTTCTCTATTACTCCTAAAAACTAAGCTTTTGTTTTAAATTAGCAATGATTATTTCATTACAGTAAAACAGTTACCTACCATATTTAAGAAAACCAAAATCAAGACAACTACATTAATTATTAAGAACCCAGTGTTCTGTTGTCATCACAGTGAACAATTGTTAAAAAAAAAAAGGAAACAAATGACAAACTAATGATAACCCTTGCCCATTATTCATTAGGTACTATAATGTATTATTTTCCTCACCTTGAACACTTTGTTCTACAGCATAAATTTGACAATGCATTTGGACTGGAACTCCCTCTCAAATCAGCTTTTTAAGGCCCCATAATACTAATTATGAAACACAAAGCTGGTAAGTGCTTATGGACCCAACATAAGTCATTCATATTTTAATTTATAGCCACCTCCTCTCATTTGATAGAAACTGGCTTGTAAAATGATCAAAATGTTTACCTATTGTAAAATGTTTCTGATACATTTTAAGTAATTTTGTTAAAACAAGTTTTAAAAAATTTAAACATGGGATTAAAACATGTTTTCTTCAGCTGTATCCAACAAATCAGATTTTAAATGTCTCTAAATGTACTTTGAGTTTCCCCATAAGGCTACTTTTGAACTTCAATTAAATAAATCAAAAAAGCACAAAACCCTAAAATAGGATATTTTTTAAGGATTAGCAAATCAAATCAAAACAGTTAGTATGCAGATTTAAAAAAAACACAACAACAAAACACAACAAAAAACCCCAAACCAACACCATGACAAATTTCAGATCAAACAATATTAACTGTGGAAAGGTTACAGCCTTTCTGTCATACTATAACAAAATGATTTAGCTCTTTTGACCATAGCCAAGCAGTTAATATTTCTTTTCCATTACATTCTTGCATGTTTGGAAAATATATATTTATATATACTTAATATTTTGGTTTTAATACTCACATATTTTCAATTTGCATTTGTTGTGGAAACAGTAACAGATTGAGCCTTGGTTTTAGACATAATTTGGGTAACAATAACACAGCATGTTCCATACTGAAATAGTTCAGAAGATGGATGAGATATTATGTGCTCTGGCCTTACTGTAATTTAGATTATCTATTTATCATTCATTTACATACTTCTTATTTAACAGGTTTTGGACACACACAGGTGATAAAAGGGTCTGGCACTGCTTTCCATTATTGAGTGTGGAAATTTATGTAGTGATTAGATTATTATGCTATTTCAGCGCTCTCTGTGGGTTTTGGAAACAAAATACTTGCAATATATCTAAAACATTTTCTATTTAAGAGAGTAACAAATGTTTGTTACAAATACTCTTCAGAAGTCCCCTGTGACATGTAAGTATTACTCTTCTGGCTTTGCCAATTGGTGCTTTAATAAAGGTGACTTTCAGCAAGTAAGCTGCAAACCTAACAATGTATGGATTGATCTCCCATTTTGATATTTTTACCACTGCACAGTGCTAGCTCTTGTTTTATTATGTTCTCTGGTCCATTTTTAAATATTCACTTGTAATTTAGTATGTAAATAAACCACTGCTAAAGAAACATTGTTTGAATCAGTTAATATAAAAGTGTTGCACATATAATAAGAAATAAACCCTTGGATCAAAAGCACAGTTGCAGATAATTAACCTAGCTCTGTGAAGAAACCGTATCAGCTTAAATCAAAGGGCTTGTGACTTTGGAACAAAGGTTCCGAGGCTGTGCACAGTGAAACGTTTGCTGATGGTCAACGCACAGCTCACACCTCCTCCTTATTTCCAGTTGCCAGACTCCACTGACAGAGTTCTTAAATACATCACTTTCCACTATTAGATGTACATTGTGTAAATAGTATATTTAAGAATTATACATATAACTATAACATTTGATGTATTTGCTGCAGAGTTTCATATATAGGCAATCACAATATTGTAGTTAATGTTTTAGTTGTAGGTAATTCATAGAATTTGGGTGGCAAAAGGTAGCCAGGGGAAAGATCTCCAGGATGGAAAACAAAACAAAAGTTCTTTAATATTGTCCCTGCATTAATTTGCAGTCTGCATTATGAACAGATAAATAAATAGGGAGCCCAGGATGAGTTCAAATTTTGGCAGTGTGTCTTCAGCACCTGATTTTCCACCAACTGTTTTGTAAAGTGATTATATATTTCTGCAAGCTACAAATCAGTTGGTCTTTCAATCTACACACAACAGGTAGTCTTGTCTTGATTGGATGTCTTGTCAAATTGGTTAATTAAGTCAGTACTAAAGCAAAATTGTGTGAAATCAGATTGTGACAAGCTATCGTCTTGGTTGTGTCTTTCAGAAAACACATCTGAAAAGTATTTGTCTGCAATATCAGCTGTATCTTCTTCTGAACAGCCATTTCTTTTGCCTTTTAAAGAATGAGATGGGACTAATCATCTTCTTCCTATGGTAACTACAAAGTCAATGTTAATTAGACAGTAAATACAAACTATTTATTTTTACTATTACAGCTGTTGCGTGCCTCCAGTCACTTTAGAGAGTGGATCCTCTCCTGCCATGATATGCAGTTCCCCATTGCTTTGTAAGCCGTGGTCCCTTACTTTATTCTGTCTTTGACTAGGCTCAGTCTGGTCAAGAATGCATCTTGGCCCTAATCTCTGTGATAACCCTCAAATTGCTGAAATTGTTGCATTTAAAGACCTCCATCAATCGCCATATGTCTTTGCAATGAAAAAACTACCACATGTGAGCATTTTTAAATATGTATGCTGAATTATGTGTATGAGACGCCTCCTTCCATTCTCACTCCAGTTTCCTGTCTTAGAAAACTGGCCCTGCTTCTAGGGTCTACATGCCCCACTTGTTTTCTTCTTGTGCCCCTTCAGACTTTGCTAAGGTCTGACATTTCTTCTCCTCTCTCTCTCTCTCATTTCCCCTGGCAAAAACATGGCAAGTGTCTTCTGATTCTTGTTATAAACCAGTCTCTTTTTTGTTTCCCAAAAATCTTGTAATATTCGAGCCTTTGGTTAAGGATTAAATGTTTAACAACTGCTTGTTTTAAACCAACTTCCCAAAACAACTGGTCTGTCTTTCCCTACATTGTCATATATTATTTATAGTACAGCAGTACTGAAAGGCATCAAAATTAAAGATCCAAGTGGGGACACATTAAAACCGCAATTCACATTCCAAAAATCTTTCAAGGAGAAAGAAATCTTCCTTCCACCCTTTAGTGGTTCACTTTGAGTAAAATCTTATCCATAGCAGGAGGAAGCTTTCCTGTATGATGCAAAAAATTACATCTAAAATGACAAATATTTCTACAGGGCTTAAGGTAGAAAATCCACAGTAGCGGGGGTGGGTAGAAAATTTCAGTATAAGAGACTTTAAAATTGGTGATTTTTTTGTATACTTCAAAAGAATTGTAGCTATTTTACATTAGGTAGTTGAACCTTTCTCTTGCAATTACATGCTATAAAACCGGCTTTTTTAAAAAACACATTAAGTGTTTATACAGCGGGTGACTCTGAGACACAGTTTTTATGTATCTATATGATTTTATGATTTGTCAAATATACTTGCCCCACACATTTACCATATGTATATATACATACAAACAATGTATCTATAGTATCTTAATAATCTCTGACTTTTTTCAGCACAAACCTTATGTATGCCTGCTGTTTAGCCTAATGGTCACTGGTTTTCTTCTGTTCTAGTGCTTATGTACCAAAGACAGTAGCAGGTCATTGCAAGTGGGCAGAAGTTCTGAAAGATTTGGAGCAGATCAAGACATCCAAAGTAAGTTCATGAAAAAGTCAGCATTTCATATAATCATAGGAGCAGACATAATTAAATATTTAGCACTGTACTCAGCTAAGAAGTGTCAGTGACAGGGAGCAGGAAAAAGGATGGTGTTTGTATAATGCCGTTTCATGGGTGGAAGCAAAGCAATAGAAGGTTAAAGGGAATTAGAATTGACCAAATACTGTGGACTCTAGAATTAAACATTATTTTCTTTCTCACTTTTCCTAAGAAAAGTGGCAGTGGGCTTGGGAGTTAGGTCCTTTGGAGAAAGTATGGCGGGACTCGATTCTGATGGGTCCTCCTCATAGTGAAGCTCATCCTGTGGGTTACTAAGTGACTTTAAGATCCCCTGACTTGCTGGCTCCCAGTACCTGGATGGATTGGGCCTTTCAACTTGGACCTAATCCATGTCTTGCAGAGTTAGCTTTATTATCTCTAAATCCGTTAGTTAACATTCATAATTCTAACTCTTGTTTTCTTTTAGGACATTGATGTCAGTTTATATACTGCAAACACAGATGAGGGTGTAAGTAAACTTAAAATTTGACCACAGCTGGTCTAATATGGTAGCTTCATTTCTTTACTAGCAACTTTCTCCTAAGGCAGCCTTGGTCTAATTTGAGAAAAGTTTCAAATCAAATAATTTGCCTTGGAAGGAACAGTTCTGTTAAAGTACTTATGATACATTATGTAAGCAGGTATTAATTTTATTGAATCACCTGCTATTAAAATTAATCAATTAAAACAGATGATCCAAAATGATCTTATCAAAGCAAACACTACTAAAATAATGTTGGTATTCGTTTGTAATTTGAGGGAGGAAAAAAGTGTCAAAGAAACTTCCAAAGACAATTATTTAACACCATGCATTATTTAATGGAATAAAATACCAGAGAAGTGGAATATGGAGAGTAACTGTCAGCATCTACCTGTGCATTTCTCTGCTTTTGCCACTCCTTAGTTTAGCAGCAAATACCTAGGTACTCTTAAGGATTTAGATTTCTAATAGTTGCAGATTATATTTTATCCTGCAAGGGATGAATTATGTTAATTTGTCAATATAATTCTTAATACAATCATAGAAACCTATGTAAAATATGATCATCTTAAATGCAGTTTCCATAAATTCATTCCTGAAGAGACTTTTTCATAATATGTTGCTGTGGACCTCAGTCTGCACTCCATGGGACACATGCATCCCACCAAGAAAATGAATCCAGCCAATACCCCACTCCTACCAGTCATCTTGGTATAGCCCAGGTGGAATTGGCTGGATTCATCGCTGCGGTAGTAGCCTTGCTTCTGAGACATTGCTTTCCTGACAACATAAACATTCACACAAAGGACTGTGCCAAACACAGATGATACATGAATCCTGTACATAAAGAGTTAATGAAAGATTTCCTAGAAATGATGGACTGACTACCTCAGTGCAGAATAGTCTCAGCATGCACGCAGAATACAGCAATGTTGATGTATTCAGTGGATCTGGCAAGCCTGAGAAAGCACAGAGTCTGATGTGTCTGTACAGTTAGCCTTGTACATGACAGGAAAAAAGGTCACAAGACATGCACGTCCACATCCACACACATATTCTCTTAACTGAACTGAGCCAGAGAGGTTAATCCATTTTAATGGCTGATTTAATACCTCATAATGTCAGGAGGATTTTCTTGAAGCGGGACAGTCTGATATGAAAGTCAGACAACCTAGGACTTATTCTTGGCTTTATTGTTGACTTGATGGAGAAATTAGTACCTCTGCTTCTTTTACTTTAATTTGTGAAATACGGGTAATATCTACTTTCTCTTGTCCCCTACCTATTCTGAATTCAGATCTCTGAATGAAAGTGCTAGCACTACTAAGAATAATACTATTTTAATGCCACTATGTCTAATTATATCCCAAATTTCTATCCTAATTAATTATTTTCCTATGTTCTTCACTAAGACACTGTCTCACCTCATTTTAGCAAATTGGCTGGCCTTTATGTTGCTAGCTGTCACAGCCAAACTTTGCAGATATTTAAAAGTATTTGACAAGTAAGAAGAAATAGCCGGTAAATAAAAATCAGCCACTTCGTGGTAAATTATATCTTACATTCACTTATTCCTTTTTAATCGTAAAACTATTACAACTTCATTTTTTTCAGAAAGAATGCCAAGAACCTGTAATAAGATGCTTTTTCTTAGAGACAGAAGTGATTCTTCAAGAATGTCTTATCAAAAATTGTAGTAAAACACAGGATGTATGGAACGTATGGAAAAATGGAAATGCAAGCTTAGAAAATAACAAGGTAAGTAACACCAACGGTCTGTGGAAAAAAGGCGAATCAAAAGTGTTTCTTCAGTAGCAGAAGTACCTCTTTTGTTATATAAAAGGTGGGATGGTACAGATGAAAGCAAATGGGATCCAGTAACCTGTACATACAACAATGAAAAAGCTACACATACAACAATGAAAAAGCAGAATTTAGTGCTTTTCAGAAAAACACTTTCAGGATTCCCATCAAAGCAAATACTTCTGACTGTGCATGCATACTTGTGTCAGGGCATTTGAATGTTTATGCATAAATAACAGTTTATAACTTCAGTATCTAAAGTCAGGTATGCTCAGACACATACAGAAAAGTATCCTAATTTTCAAAAGGACAGCCAATTGCATCTTTCACTGAAGCGCTGTATCTTTGAAAGCTGATTCTACTTGGAAAGCAAGCCAGGAGCTGCATAGACCATAAGTACCATGGAAGCCTCCAGCAATGCTTTCTGTAGCCATTGACTGCATTAGAGTTATTCACAAAGACAGGACAAACAACGGTTAGTTCTCTATCAGAACAAATAGATCAGTACCCTGCTTTACTATTGCATTTTGTTTTTCAGTTGAATTCCAAAACATCAGCAAAATGCAAAGAATGTGAAGAGTATGAAGAAAAAAATTTTACAGAATTTATACAGAGTTTTGTAAAGGTTATACAGAAGGAATGCAAACACTGACCAAATGACACAAGCTGGGAACCAAGATTCTTCCACGAACATCCTCAGAGAAATTAGATTATCACCAACAATAAACTAGAAAGAACATCACTTACAATCCTACTTACATAACATAACATGTAAACAAAGAATAATAAAATCCCTGTAATTCACAATGTATTCATAACTGAATACATACAAATGATAATACTTAGGAAATATAAATGAAAGGAATTTAACAGTGTTTAAAGCTTCTTCTTGACTTAAAGTAAGTCTTTTGGTAAGTCCACCAGAAAAGAAATCCTGCCTAATTTACCAACCTTTCAACAAAATTCTCTAAGAAGATCTCAGGGTATCTGCAGTAGGAACCTCCTCATGAATATCAGTTCAGGGCTAACTGAATGGGGTTTCAGAGAAAAGCTCTTCTTTTATTATTATTCATATAAAATTATCATAACCTTTTAAAGCATTTGGCTATAGCTATTTTTGTTATCTGAAATCTATCCCTTTACCATCTGTGCTCCTAGAAGATTCTAGCTCATCTCTCACTTCTGTTGTTAGTCATGTCTGACAGTTTTCCTTGCAATTTTTTTTTCTTATTAACATTCCTTCAATGAACTAATGTCAAACCACAAGCTGAGGCCTATTTGTCTCAAAGGTCTATTGGCTACCTCTTAATATATTTATTTCTACTATGGTTTTCAGGTAAACCCAATTACTTCTTTTACCTAAGAATTTAAAGTCAAAAGTTAGAATATTTCTTTAAAGATTCTTCCTTACATTTTTTCCCTTTTGTACAATGGTAGCATAAGGGCATTAAAAATTACCTCCAGTCTTCTAAACAGAAGGTAATGCTGGTGCTTGGTTCCATTGTCCAATGACAGAACATGCTTTGTTACTTCATTTGCTACCTCTGATGCAGACACTACCTTACTCATTATGGTAATTACTACAGTTTCTTTAGCAATTACCAAAGATTTCAATCTAAATTTCAACCAAAGAAAAGTAGCGTAAATTTCATTCTCTGAATAAAGGAGGTGACCAAATCTCTTACACACACCACATCTCTTACACATTTCTTAGGTAGAAATCTTTCCTATGTAGGAGAGTTTGTAACTTTGGTCTCCTTTTGGGGCAAGAACTTTGAAGGCAGGAATCACTTTTGACCAGTTATTGGAAATCATGATAACTGTATTTCTAAGACTCAATGCCTCACCTGTCACCTGTTAGTTCTGAAATGTTGCATAGTCTTCTTTCAGCTCTTTCTAAAGTAACTGCTTTCTTCATGATTCATAACCATGTCATACCAACTGCTACCCATAAGGAATTCTTTCCTCCAGGCACCTCCATTTCTCCATCTTCATTTGCGTGCTGGTTTTGGCTGGGATAGAGTTACTTTTCTTCACAGTAGCTAGTATGGGGCTATGTTTTGGATTTGTGCTGGAAAC